CCCTCTGTGGGCCCTCCCACTCCCCTGGCGGAGGCCTGCTGTGCCCAGGAGCAGCCCTAGATCCTGCAGAGGTTCCGGGAGAGCACTCATGAAACCCAGGCCCCTCCCAAACTCTGCCCCCACCCCCATCCTTTGTTGTAGGTTTTCACTCCCTGCCCGCGGGTGGGAGATGAGGACTCAGAGGGGTGCGGGTGGCAGGAGTGGGGAGGGCCTCCTGTTGCCCACCCCCTGTGAGCCCACCGCTTGGTTTTGGCTGAGAGAGGGGCCAGAGAGGGGAAGAAGAGGGGCTCCAGGGAGAAGGGAGGGAGCCAGGGCTATGCCGAGTGGGGCTGTAAAATCTGGAGGAGGGGTGAGAATCCCAGCGCCTGTGGGTAGGAGCGCCCTAGGGCTGCTGCAGCACAGTTCCACCAACCGGACTTAAACCCACTTGTCCCACCACCCGCTGCCTCTGTCGCACAGGGCGTCTTCTCTCTGCTTCTCTGTCCTCCCTCTTTTTACAGGGACACCAGTCACTGGATTCAGGGCCCACTCAAACTCAGGGAGATCTTATCCTGAAATCCAGAGCTTAATTACACCTGCAAAGATGCTGTTTCCAAATAAAGTCACAATCACGGGTACCAGGGGTGGGACTTGGGCATAACTTTTGGGGGACACCATTCAACCCACAACACTAAGCTTCTGGGTGGGGGTCAGTAGCAAGCTGGCTGTCAGCCTGGGAGGACCCAGGTACTGTGGGGCCATGGACCCAAATTGTGTGACTGGAGCCCTGCTCAAGGTGGGGTCAGGCCAGGCGCAGGGTGGTGTCCTGTCCATCTGCAGCCGTCCTCCTCCCCTCAGCCCCCTCCAGGGCTGGTGTCCCAAGAAGAGGCTTGAGATATCATCTGCACCCATGTTGCCAACCCTGAGAGTTACCCAGTCTGGGCTGTGTGTGCAGGGCAGGCAGGTGGAAGTCTCTCTGAATGAGACATGGCGTGAAGAGGGAGTGAGACAGCCAGCGAGTAAGGTCAGCTTCCCAAGGCTTGAGGTCCTTTAGTCTTGGAAGCTGAGGGTGAAGTGTGCAGGCCAGGTGGGGCCACAGTTGGTTCATTGCTCATGCACGTCTTCCCTGCCTCCTGGGTGTCCATCAGGGTGCCTGTGGTCCAACTGAGGCTGAGAGGTGGTGGCTGTCTAGATAGGACCCAGCTATGTGGTCGGAGTGATGTGAGATTTCATAGGGGGTTCCACCAGAGGCGGGGGATGGGGAGAGGGGAGAAAAGAGCCCCAGAGCTTGCAAGACAGGAGTCCTGGTCGCACAGGGCGTGGTCTGTTTTGTACACACTGGGCAGCAGACCCAGGGACGCCATAACAGCAGCTCTGCCTCTCGCTGTCTCACGGAAGGTGTCTCTCTGTCAGCCCTGGCAAACTGCCGGCACCATCTCCTTCCAAAGGCAGAAGACAGGTTCCTGGGGAGTCTTCAGGCCTTCCCAGCACTCTTTGTGGCATTCTGTCCTCCCATGGGGTGGAGCCGACTGGGATGCAGGCCGACTGTGCGGCCTCTGCCGCAGCCCTGCTGACCGGCCCGTATGGGATTTAGGAAGCCTTAGATGACCTGGTGTGCTCAGGGCCTGTGGGGGTTAGGGTGAGGGTTAGGGTTGTTGAGGGGGTCTACATTGTGGAGGCTCACCATGGCCTTGACCCCACTGGAGGTCAGGCCCGGGTGACTCCTGCTCTCAGGGAGGGGGCCTGTGGTGGAGCATTTCAGGTTCAGCCCCTTTGCTTCAGTTCAGGGGTTCACCAATCTTCCCACCACTGACCTCTGCCCAGCCTGCTCTTTTCCAGGGACATGTGGTGCCCGTGTCCTTCTTGGCCATCAGGAATTAGTGGCTCAGGTCATGTGGTCATGTGGCCACCTGTCCCCCACCTCATGCACCGCGCAGTCCATTGGCAGATGGGTTGTGCGATGACATCTGTCCAAAGTGTCAGCCCTCCATTGAGTTCTGGTTGTAGGCGTAGGTTAACGCTCTCAACAGCCATCTCAGGCCACAGGTTCCCACCCTAGGGGACCCACGGCTGGGTGAAACCAAGGCAGGCATGCACCTTATTCATCTCTGTGTCCTTAGGGCTAAGCACAGGGGATGGTGCGTAGGAGTCACCAGATAAAGTTTGTTGAATGACTGACAGAAAGATGCCTGGGTCCTGAGGCCTGCTGCCTTGTGGTCACTCACCTGGCCCTGATACCTGTGCAGACTCAGTTGTCTGGCCAACAGGTCCACCCTTCAGACTTGCCATGTCAGGAAGTTCTGGACCCCTGGGAAGATTGGGTCTGCAGGGCCCAGTGATAGGGCGGCCAATTCCAACTCAATTGTTGCTCCAGCTACATAGACTAGGCGAGCAAGTCCAGGTCGGTAAAGGGGACTCAGGACCAGCCAAGGGGCTGAGACAGGCCTTTATAGGGAGCTCTGTGGTGGAAACAGGCTCTCAGGGCCATCAACGGCCACTGGACATCCAGCCCATGGAGGAGCCTGCTGACCCCATCAGACTCTGGCCGCTAGAGAGCTGGGCCTGGTTAGGACGGCACACGCTCTCATCCTCTAAAGTGGACTCCACCCTCAGAGGCCACCCAGCTGCCCTCCCGCCAGTGCGAGCGCAGGGCCTGTTTGAGGTCTGTTTGAGGGTCACACGGCAGGTCCAGAGCTTGTGGAGCAGAGGCCATGTCTCAGGTGCCAGCTTCCTCTTCCTACGGGGGTGTCTTTCGTGCAGAGTCCAGGCCCTGAGAGCTCGTGCCCAGAAGTGTGAAGATTAGAGTCGGGGAGGGGGTAGCTTTTGCAGAGCGGTGTCATCTTGATGCTGCCTTATTGGCTGCTGATTGAATGAATGAATGAATGAATGGCGCCTGTGCTTCAGGGGGACTTGCCGTTTCAGGGCAGAAGGGTTTGCTGAGGCAGCCATGGGCCTGGGGCGGCTGTGCTGAGAGGGAGCATTGAGGATGTGGGCTGGCAGCAGTCTGTGGTTGGCAGGCCGGAGGGGCACTGTGTTAAACTCATCTGCCTGCCCGGCTGAGCCTTCACATTACTGGGCTTTCCAGGACAGTGGTCACCATGGAGATGGCACATCCTGGCAGCGCACCCTGAGCGGCAGTGAAGAGAGGGTTAACCCTGTGTGTGCCGGGCTCCTGTTCCTGACCACTGTCCTGGCCTGGCCTTGGTGAGGGAGAGGCTGGGTGGCCCTGTGACCTCTGGGGAGCTGGATCTGGGGAGGCTCTGGACACATCCAATGCTTTAACAACCTGGAGAGCCTGGGCAGGATCCCTGGAAACCGAGCAGAAAGGAATGAGAGGAGCAGACCGAGGCTGTCAGCCGGCAGCGGCCCCAGCCTGGGGTCCCTTCCCTATCTCGTGGGGAACTCCTCGATCTGGTCATGGGAGAAGACTCCAAAATCGGGCCCATTTCATAGGGATGTGGCTGGATGTCTGAAGTCTCCAGATAACTGGCTTTTCTGTCTGTTGGAGGTTGTGTTGTGGCCCATGCTCAGCGGTGGAAGGGGACAGTGGGTCACCTGGGCCCAGAGCCTCTGCCGTATCTCAGGTGCGCTGGGCCAGGTATTTGCAGGCACTGGGGTCTTTCAGGGAGACCTTGCCCTTAGGGAGCCGGGCCACTCAGGGAAGCTTAAGCCGTGCACGTGCCTGTCTAGAATTCGGTATACTATAGATGTGGAGGGTGCTGCCCCAGCCTCCCGAGGGGGATTGGGATGTGGCACTGGGTAACAGGCCTTAGCCCGACCTCACTGTCTGCACTGTGGTCAGCCTGGCCCTCCAGGGAGGTCTCTGGGATGGCCTGTCAGGGAAGTCTAGCAATGCCAGGTGCTGGAGGGTGCCGCTGCCAGACCAGGTCCCTGGGAGGACCGCAGGAGGGCTGTCCGGCGGGTGGAGGGGTGGATGTGCCCTGCGGAAGCCTGTCTAGGGACTGTCCTCTGCCCCCACTCCAGCACCATCCAGCGGGCCGGGTTTGATGCCAAGCAGATTCCTTGCCTCTGGCTGTGAAGCTAACCCTGGCCATGCCTCGCCACCACCTCCTCCTTGGCTGCGGTAGAGCAGCTGGTCCAAGGCTGCAGAGGTGGAGTGGGCTTACTGTGCCCCGCTCTGTGACTATAGTGGAGGTGGTGCTGTCCCCATCCCTGGCTAATGGGACCTGGACGGGTGGGTCACCTGGAGGGCAGCAGTGACTTTCAGTGGAGGGACCTGGTAGCAAGTTCCCACCTTGCTTTCCCACCCTTCCACCCCATTGCCCAAACCCAGCCAGAAGCCAGAGGGCACGGGGTCATTGCCATGGTCCGTACCTTTCAGCCTCCAGACAGAGAATGGAGGAGATGCACTGCGAAGAGCAGGCGGGAGACACTGGTACACGGTGATTCAGGCTTGGACTGGGCTAATGGAGCCAGTCCCACGTATGACAGCTCTGAGACTCACAGCACACTGGGCCAGAGAGGGACCGAGAATGACCCCGCACCCATCCTGGCAAACTTTTGCCACTGCTCTTTCTGTCGTCAGAGAGCTTTGGATGTGGCGCTGCGGTGGGGGTTGCGGCTTGTCTACTGGCATACGGTACCCACCCTCCAGCCATCTTTGACCGTGAGGCCTGGGCAGAGGCTCGATCACCCCCCACGCGTAGGTGTATGAGTCCTGCTGGTCCTGCCCTCTTTGGTGTGGTTGTTGGGATCACAGCTCATGGCTTTAAGAGTGTCCCTGTGTCCTCTCCCCTTGTCTGGGACTCCTTGGGGTGGCTCAAGCCCTCCCGTTCCTGGGGGGTGGTTCTGCTGTCAGCCCAGTGGTCACCAGAACAGTGTGGCTGGGGCTGGAGCCAGTGGACGGGTTCCTTGGAGGCACCAGATGTTACAAAGTAGCCTGGTGCCACCTGCTCTGAGTTGGGTGCTGTGGCCTGGGCTTATCCTCAGCATGTTGGCTGGGGCACCTCCCGGGGCCAGGACTTCGTCTTTTGTATCACTCTGCCCTCTGTGCCCAGCACAGGGCAAGCGGGTACTCAGAAAGTGCCTGCTGAATGAATGAACAGGCAGCGCGCTGGCCTCCACGTTGCCTCATCAGCAGCTGCCGAGTTCGGATGATGGTGGCGTTGATGTTTTCTTGGCTGAGATTCCAGGGAGACCTTGTTTATTCAGTGATCACTGTGAAGCCGTTTCGTGGGTCACCTACCTTAGATCCAGCGTGCTGACAGCACACAGGCAGACATCCAGCCTGCTTGTAGGTGAGAGGCGGGAGCAGCCCCTTCTCAGCCGTGCTGCTCATGCTGATGTCTGCCTGGGAGGAAGTCCCCCTTGGGGCTCCCACTGGAGGGACAGTCCCTATCCGTACCCCACGAGCCTCGGTGTGCATTCCAGGCTGAGCCCATGCCAGGCCCATTGGAAGGACTTTGAATCTTGTTGGAGCAATTCAGAGATGGTGGACGTTTGCATGCCAGGCAGGAGGGCCGGGTGGGGTGGGTATCCCGACCACGTGCCCGGTATCCTCAGAAGAGGAAACATGAGCCTCCTCTGAAAGCCATGGCCGTGTGCGCCCTGGCAGAGGCCTCAGAGCCCTGGGGCAGTGTGGCCCAGCCCTAAGTGAGCTCCTTCCTCATGACCCCGCCTCCTGTGCTCCCCACGCTCTGGCCCTGGTCAGATGGGCCCAATCATAGTCCGGCCTTTTAAGTTTAAACGGATAAACCAGAGTCAGCCCATCAAACAAGTCCTACCAGGGGTCCAGGCCACGCACTGATGACCTGCGGGTGAATGGATGCTCTCAGCACCACAGGCTGGGGGCTTGTAAACAACAGGCATTTACTGCTCATACTTCTGGAGCCTGGAGATCTGGGATCCAGGCTGGGATCCAGGTTCGATGCCTGCTGAGGGCCCATTCCTCTTGCTGTGTCCTTATCTGCTGGGAGCTCGGTGGGGTTTCTTCTGGGAGGGCGCTCATTTCATTCATGAGGCTTCACCCTCATGACCTCCTCTCCTCCCAAAGACCCCACTTTCTAACCCCTCAGCGGACTGTAACACAAGGATTTGGGGGGACACAAGCACCTGGGCCAGAGCTGCTGGTGACTGTGTGTGGGCGGCTTTGGAAGGGTGTCATTCATTTCCACCCTGGGTGCAACCTCTTTTATGAAATGATGGGGACCAGGGTTCCAGGTCCTCGGTCTTTGGGAAGATGTGACCTGCAGCCCAGGGCGGGCACGTGGAGCTGCCCAAGGGACTGCAGGAACGGGGAGCAACCCCTCGAGGCCCCACAGGGCCCAACCCAGGAATCCTGAGGGTCTGGAGGTGCTGCTGGTGGGGGTCGCCCGGGAGGTGGCCTCCTGTTTCTGGCTGCAGCCTTGGGGTGGAGGTCTCCTGGGTGGTGGTGTCCAGTGAGCCTGCCCCTCTTGTCTCTGGCTGCAGCTCCTTCTTCTCCGCCTTCCTGAACCTCCTGGTCAGCGCCTTCGTGGTCTTCCTGGTCTTCATTGCCAGCACCATCGTGAGTGTGGGCTTCACCATGTGGTGCGACACCATCACCGAGAAGGGCACCGTAGCCCACAGGTGCGCCTGCCCCACCTGCCTCGGCCTCAGCCTCGGCCCGCCTCCCCTGAAAATCCCTTGACACCCTGCCCTGCTCTGGGTGATCTTCCCTCGTGAAGCCCATCCTGAGTCTGCGGTCCCTGGTCCCACTGTGCCCCTGCCTGTGTATACCTGGCCAGGCCCTCTCCTGAGACCTGCCCCGCAACATTGAAACCTTCCCGCTCTGGGAGCAGGGAGCATCACACGTCACACACGAGCGATCATCCCTAGGGCTGAATGTGGCTGGGGGTGACTCCAGGTGATCAGAGACTCCGGCTGCCCTGTCCTTGCCACCAGGGCTTGCGTGACAGATCCCATGCAGCATAGCCCCAGGTCCTGGGAAGCTCGATGTGACCACACAGCTGGAGACGCTTGGGCTTCTGTCCTGTGCTGGCTGAATGCGAGAGCCCAGGGAGAGCATTAGGCTCAGGGCTTTGGTCCCCAGGGTGTGGGATTTGGAAGATGGTGGAGGGGACAGGGATGGTGAAGAACAGGAGCAGAGAAAGCTTCTGGTAGGGTGAGGGTCAGCTCCCAGGCTGGTTGGGGATGAAGGCCTTTGAGCCATGGTGGTCCCCCTGGGATCTTAGCAGGGGCATCATTTGACTTGTGGGGGGCCCCAGAGTGGAGCACGGTGACTGCCTGCCCCCAACAGTGGGATGCCCAGCCCTGAGGGGCACCATCCAGTGCCCCAGGCCAAAATCCTGGAAGACAGGAACCCTCCAGAGTTTCCACGTTCTTCCTTTAAGCAAACCCAGACCTGAAACCACAGCATCTGCAATAGATGGCAGCAGAGCCGAGGGGCTCCCTGCCTGTCTGTTCCGTGCCTCCACTCTGGGGTACCTGGGGCACAAACCAGAGGAAAGCGTGAGCACCTGGGCGTGTGGCCCTGCAGGGCCTCCTGTGCTGAGCTGTGCCCTGTGCCCCATCCTGCACTGTCCCAGCTCCGCCTGCTGGCTCTGGCCACCTGTTTCCCGAGAGCGTGGGCAACCCCTGGTATACAGGCAAAGTTTCCTTGGCCTCACGGACACCGTTTCCAGCCCTTCAGCCCCTCCAGGGGGTGTGGGGGCTGCTGGGCTCCCTGTCTCTGGCACCCTGCTTCTGTCAATGTGTCCTGGCTTTATGTTTTATGTTGGGGGTGCAGGACACCGGGAGCCCAGGCCTGGCTCACTCCCGGGCCCTCTGATGCCCACTGCCTCCACAGATGCCTCCGTGATGGGGGCAGAGCCTCTGGGCAGCGTTGGTGGGGACGCCACCTCCATCTCTGTATGGCTGAGGCAGGCCTGCATCTCCTGCCTCTGAGACCCTGTGACCCTCAGAGTGTGGAGCACAGGGGCAGAGGGTCCGGGAGAGCAGAGGCTGAGCCGGTGTCTTCCAGCCGTCCAGAGCCAGGATGGGGAGGGGCCTGGCCTCTGAGACCCTGTGACCCTCAGAGTGTGGAGCACAGGGGTAGAGGGTCCGGGAGAGCAGAGGCTGAGCCGGTGTCTTCCAGCCGTCCAGGGCCAGGATAGGGAGGGGCCTGGAGGTTTCCTTTCCCGAAGGCTGTACTGCTCCATGGAGGAGGCCTTGAGGCCGATCGCCCGTGGTGTCCTCGGAGACTCCCTGCTGCCCCCCAACCATTGTAGGGCAAAGTTCGTGCCTCTCTGGCCAGCAGCTCAGCCATGTCCTGCACTGGCTGTCCTGGTGGTCACCTTCCACTCTACGTCCTCCTGTTTTAGCTGTGAAGAGCTTCAGGACATCGACTTGGAGCTGGGTGTGGACAACTCTGCCTTCTACGATCAGTTTGCAATTGCCCAGGTAGGGGCTCTGGGCAGGAGGGGAGGCTTGCAATGCTGGGAATGCTGGGAGGGGGGCATTTACGGCTGGACACTCGCTGAGCTCTCCCCCTATCCAGAGGAGGAGGCAGGCTCCTGTGCAGATAAGGTGGTTGGCAACGGGACCAGGCAGTGGGAGCACTCTGGAAGACTTCCTGCAGGTGGGGGAGGGCTGGGCTTTTGTAGGTGGGTTTGGGGAGGAGATGGCCACAGTGAGTTAGAATCAGGACGTGGCAAGGCCCTGGAGTCTGGAGTGAGAAGTGTTGGAGGAGGTGGTGTCAGAAACGAAACCAGGCATCAGATCCTGGGGGTCCAGTGCAGGGACGAGGGCCTTGGACTTTGGTGCCAGCGCGAGGTGAGCCTGTTCAGGTCAGTGCTGGAGGCTTAGGGACGTCCCCTAGCCAGGGGGACGCTGACACGGAGTCCAAGGATGTCCCCTAGCCAGCGGGACGCTGACACGGAGTCCAAGGACATCCCCTAGCCAGGGGGACGCTGACACGGAGTCCAAGGATGTCCCCTAGCCAGGGGGACGCTGACACGGAGTCCAAGGATGTCCCCTAGCCAGCGGGACGCTGACACGGAGTCCAAGGACATCCCCTAGCCAGGGGGACGCTGACACGGAGTCCAAGGATGTCCCCTAGCCAGGGGGACGCTGACATGGAGTCCAAGGAAGGATGCAGGGGATCCCACTTGGGAATTCAGAAGATTTGCCACCCTACCCTTGCATAAGCTGCGTCCCCCACCCCCTAGGAGACTTGGTGGGGGACCATGGTGGACCCCAATCTGAGGGACCCTATTTGCTGAAATGCAGACCTGTGGGGACACATCAGTGGTCTGTGAGGGCCGGAGGGGGAACCCTGGAATTGGGTTTGCTCCTTGAAGTCTGCAGGTGTGCCCCAGATGGAGGTGACGCAGAGGAGGGGTGCCGGGTGGGGTTGGCTGAGACCAGACACCTGGCTCCTGCCAGCACTGATCAGGGCCCGCCGGCTTCAGATCCACTTCCGGACCCCAGACTGGCCTCTGAAGGCTCTTGCTGGCTGTGGCTGGCTGAGGACGCTTCTCCTGGCCAGAACCCTCCAAGGGGCTGGCCATAGGTGGGCCTGAGTGTTCTTTGCCGTGATGAACTGGATCTGTCAAAGACACTTCCATGCAAATTTAGTGAGTGGAAGAGGCCCCAGGCCTAATTTGTGCCAATTGGATTAAGGTGTGAGTGCAGTCTGATGACAAATACGCTCAAATGAGAATCAGCTTAATGTGGCTCAGGCCTGGTTCTGATTAAATTGTTTCTCCTTCAACTGTTTGGAAACAGCGGCTAAAGGTCAATTTATTCTGGTGGTTGAAGGAGCCTCCGCTGTTTACCCGCCCTCCTTAGAGCCCACAGGCCCGAGCTGCTGCAGGAGAACGCGCTGGCCGCTGGCCACTGCCCCTCCCCAGGGCCTCTGGCTGGCCTGGAGTCGGGGTGGGTCTGAGTGCCCAGGGCTTGTGCTCCAGAGTGGGTTCCGGGAGGGGCGCAGGTGCTAGAGAACGATGCTGGCTGCAGGAAAGACTCAGAAGACTGATCGTGGGCAGGGTCTTCAGGATCCGGCCCTGCCCCATGTCCTCAGCCTCCTCCTTCCTCTGAGTCCCCTCCTTTCCCTGCAGAGCAGAGCCTGGGAGCTGGTGGGAGGGGGGTGCGCTGACAGCGGACCCCCAACGGCCTCTGACCCTGCCCCTGCCCTCTGTGCAGTTTGGCCTCTGGGCCTCATGGCTGGCCTGGCTGGCCATCACCACGCTGGCCTTCCTGAAGGTGTACCACAACTACCGTCAGGAGGACCTGCTGGACAGCCTGATCCACGAGAAGGAGCTGCTGCTGGCCCGGCCGTCCCCACGCACCTCCTTCCAAGAGGAGAAGAGCGCCGTCATTTAGGCACCGCGCGGGCAGGGGAGCTGGCCCCTGACCTCCCGGCTGCGCTTGGGGGCACGGGCCTGCCTGGGGAAGCAGCTGGGGGGCTCTGCCTGGGCCCTGGCCACATGCAGCCCTGCGTGTGTCCCCTCGAGCGTAGTGAGGTGAGCGCCCCAGTGCCCACTCGTGAGCCTAGCAGTGGACTGGGTGGGTGCTGGCTTCCTGATGAGGATGGTGCAGAGAGACTATGGGTGTGGGGCGGGGGGTGGGGGGCACCTCCAGGCCTCACACAGGGCCCCATGGCTGTCCCAGTAGGACCTGACTGGCCAGCCTGGGTGGAGGGCATCCAGCTGGTCTCCCCCAACCCTGGCCGGATGCTGTCTCCATGCCAGCTGGCCCAGGGGTGGCCAGACGTCACTCAGCCCTGAACGAATTCTGCATGAATTCTGCCATCCAGGCAGAGGCTACGTGTGGGGAGGAGCTCACGGCACCTTCCAGCCTCTGACCCCAGGTTGGCCCCTCCCCGGCTGAGTCCCCCTCCTGGGTGGGTGCCATAGGCCTGGGAGACCCCGTGGCCGGGCTCAGGGAGGCTTCTGAGGCCTGTGAGTTCGCCTCACTGTGTGTGGGTCCTGTCTGTGCTTGGCTGAGGGGCACGGAGGTGGTAATCTGGGCTCCACAGAGTCAGGGGCATCATCTGGTTGGGGATTTGGGGGGCACACTTACCACACAGAGGATTGGGCCAGGAGCCATGGCAGGGGTCTGTGTGTGGGTGTGTATGGGGGATGTGATTCTGTGAGTGCCTTTGTGCATGGGAGGGTGTGATTGTGTATGTGAGTGCATGAGAGGATGTGACTGTGAGTGTGCATGTGCGTGTGTGACTGCATGTGTGGGTGTGACAGTGTAGGTGTGACTGTACATGGGAAGGTGTGACTGAGTGTGCATGGGAGGGTGTGACTGTTGTGCATGTGTGGGTGTGACTTGTGCATGTGAGGGTGTGACTGAGTATGTGACGGTGTGACTGAGTTTGCATGTTAGGGTGTGACTGAGTGTATGTGAGGGTGTGACTGTTGTGCATGTGAGGGTGTGACTGTGAGTGTATGTGAGGGTGTGACTGAGTTTGCATGTTAGGGTGTGACTGAGTGTATGTGAGGGTGTGACTGCATGTGAGGGTGTGACTGAGTGTATGTGAGAGTGTGACTGCATGTGAGGGTGTGACTGTTGTGGATGTGAGGGTGTGACTGCATGTGAGGGTGTGACTGTGAGTGTGCATGTGGGAGTGTGACTGTTGTGTGTATGTCAGGGTGTGACTTGTGCATGTGAGGGTGTGTGTGAGTATATGTGAGGGTGTGACTGTATGTGAGGGTGTGACTGTGAGTGTATGTGAGGGTGTGACTACATGCGAGGGTGTGACTGCATGTGAGGGTGTGACTGAGTGTATGTGAGGGTGTGACTACATGCGAGGGTGTGACTGCATGTGAGGGTGTGACTGCATGTGAGGGTGTGACTGTGAGTGCATGTGAGGGTGTGACTGTGAGTGTATGTCAGGGTGTGACTGCATGTGAGGGTGTGACTGTGAGTATATGTGAGGGTGTGACTGCATGTGAGGGTGTGACTGCATGTGAGGGTGTGACTGTGAGTGTATGTGAGGGTGTGACTACATGCGAGGGTGTGACTGCATGTGAGGGTGTGACTGAGTGTATGTGAGGGTGTGACTACATGTGAGGGTGTGACTGCATGTGAGGGTGTGACTGTGAGTGTATGTGAGGGTGTGACTACATGCGAGGGTGTGACTGCATGTGAGAGGGTGTGACTGTCGTGCATGTGAAGGCTTGATTGTGAGTGTGCATGGGAGGCTGTGAGTGAGTGCATGTGAGGGTGTGACTGTACCTGTGGCATGAGTGTGCATGTAGGGCGTGTGGGGAGGAATGTGGGTGAGTGCCTGGGTGCCTGGGCAGGTGTGTCTGCACAGTGTGTGTGGCATGTGCATGAGGAACCGCATGTGAATGTGCGTGTGTTGCATGTGAGCGTGTGCATGCCCGTGCGTGTGCATATGTGTGTGAGCATTGTGTGCGTGATGGGAGCCGTGGGTGCTGTGTGGACAGCCCCTCTGCCCCTCCCATGGGCTCCCACATCCAGCATCCACCTGAGAGAGGAGGGAGCGCCTTCCCATTCTGCAGAGTCTGTGTGCTGAGGCCCCACAGAGGCAAGTGGAGGAGCTGGGATGTGAACCTGGGATCCCAGGGTAGGGGGCTGCTTGGCTGTGGACCCTACTGCTCAGGAGAACCCAGGGTCCACCTCTACAGGACTCATTCCAGGGGCGGGGGCCTCCTCACCTGGGGCTCGATGAGCGGCTGTCTGTTTCTTGGCTTGAGTGCTGCCGAGTGCTCCCTGCTGCTGCGCCCACCCTCCCAGGGAGACGCGAGCCCCTAGCTCCCTGTGTTGGTGACCCACCCCGTCCACCATCAGCAGCTGGCTGGTGTCTCTGGGTGGCTGGGCACCAGCCTCCTGGAGGCCACATGCCTGGGTCCACATGGAGGGTCCCGGTGGGGGCATCACCCTGGGTCCCGCGAGTGAGGCTGGCAGGTGACCAGTCACACTGTGGTGAAGGCAGGTTCCCATTGGGGGCGTCAAGGCCGGGGGATCGAGGCTCTGGAAGCTCAAGGGGGCTGTGGCCTTGGGGCCCAGCTGAGTTTCCAGCTGGCAGCCAGGTCCTTGAGGGAAGGGGTTTGGACAGAATCCGAGGCCCCCTAAGCTGATGGGCTTCCCTGTCTCCCCGGCCAGCCCTGACCCACTGAACAGGGGACTCTTTCCAGCCCGGAGAGCTCCTTGTCTGTGTCCCCAGCAGAAGGTGGGGTGGCTCCTGCCTCACCCTCTGCCCAGCCCTGATCCAGGCCAGAGCCATCTAGGGCCCCAGAAGGAGGGGCAGGAGGCAGGGGTGGTTCTGGAACCTGAGGGTTGGCTCCGGTTGGGTCTGTCCTCGGGGCTGCACTGCTGGATCCCAGGAGCTGGAACAGCCCCACAGCCAGGGTGACAGAAATCCTTGGCTGCATGCAGACACAGACCCACCCCGGACTGGGCTGTCCCCGGAGCCCAGACACATCACCCTGGGAAGGGGCAGCTGGGCCTGAATTGTGCTGGGCAGGGGCTGGGCGCCCTGGTTGTGGGTTCTCCAGGGTCCCTTAGAGGGCTGGGCCTCTCCCCAGGAAGGAAGGTGGGAAGTACAGGCATGACCCGGGGTTCCTGAGGCGGGTCCGCCAAGTTGCTTCTGAGATGCCTTTGCTTCTCTCCTGGCTGTCTGATAATGGATATCTCTGTTCTAATTCCACTCTGGCTAAACTGAAAGTGAAGACCCTTAAGCTTACTATGTGTCTACCCCTCAGAGTCAGAATAAAAACAAAAGCGCCTGAGTCTCCAGCAGGCATGAGGAGTGTGTGGGGTTCTCTCTGCCCTCTCCGCGGTCGGCCGGCCTGGCTCGTGGTTTTAACTGTCTGGAATGTGTGGGTCACACGCAGTGCCCTCGGGCTTTGGGCCTTTCATGTCGGAAGCTTTTAGGAATTGGAAGATGGCCTTCCCAAGGTTCTGCCGTCCTCTCTGTACATTTTCTACTGGCTTCGAGTCTCACTGCTTCCTGTGCTGCTTCCCCAGGTGGGAGGATCAATTTTGAAGGATTTCTTGGGGGTGTGGTGCCCATCTTTGAACAATATTTGTTGAGTACCTGAGATCGTAGCGTAGGACCCCGCAAAGCCAGGCATGTCCTTGTGTTGCCTTTGCAGTGGACAGGCAGCCGCAGCTGGGGGAGATCGGCCTGGGCGGCGTCCCCCATCAGAACCAGGGCTGGAGGGGTGGCCCAAACACACAGAGAGGGGGCTGAGCCTGGGTCTATGACTGCCCTGAGACCCAACCTCTGGTAGCCGCTGCTTCTGCATCCAGAATATGGGGCAGGAACCTGCCCATCCTCCTCCCTGGGTGGGGTGGGATGGGCTGGGCCTGGGTGGGGTGGGATGGGCTGGGCCTGGGTAGGTGGGGCTGTGGTGACTGTGGGGAGAGCATGATGCTGGAGGGTTCCCGGGGGAGCCCCCACCATGGTCCCTTCTGGGCCAGTTCTGGAAACAGCCCTTTTTGTTGCCTCCAACCACAACTCTGGGCTCCCTGGATTCCAAAGCCGGAAGCGACCCTGGAGACCACTGCGCCTGTTCCCTGGCACCTGGAGTTGTGGGGACACACCCTGACTGCAGGGTGAAGGGAGCCAGCCGGGCATCCCTCAAGACCTGGGGGCTTGGTTAACCCCCTGCCTGAGTGGACACATCCACTCCCAGGCCTGCAGGAGACAGGGAGGTTCCAGGGGCCCAGGACATCCACTCTGGTCACTGAGGCCGATTCCTTAGCAAATCGGTTCTGGTTTCTCTTGTTTCTATAAAAACGCCAAGACGGAAGGAAGCCACGGTGTGTTTTAATAGAGCAGTGTCTCCCAGTTAAGTGGCGGGACAGAGAGGAACCACCAGACAGGTCATCAGCCGTGCCCTTCCCTCTCAGGCGAGCCTCGAGGACCCTGGTCTGATTGTCCCTGTGTCTCTCCTGGGCAGTTCTGCCTGGTCCCTAACCGTGGGCCTCCCTGCTTTGTTCAGCCCTCCCCCCATGTAGGGTCTGGAGGGGCCCCTAGTGTTTGTCACCCACAGGGCTCCCTTCAGCTCTGCAATCTGGTGACAAAGCCACAACCACAGACGGTCTCCGGGACCTACAGGCCCCAGCTGGTGGGTGGCACTGGCTGGTCCTGGGCTCGGCTGGGTGCCCCCGGCCTGCAGAGCTGTGCACAGATGGCTGTTCTGAAGGCCGGGGGTGTCTGGGCCCCTTGCTGTCCCCTCAGCTTCTATACCTGAAGCTGCCCCCGATGAGGGGTCCTCCCCTGGGGCCTCTCCAGACTCATGGGACTGAGTAGGGGGTCAGACCTGGGCTCAGAGGATGGCACCTCACATCAGAGGGACCCACCTTGACAACTAAACCCTTCCTGTGGGGTTTCAAGGTCTGGGTTCTCCACAGGCCCTAATTGCAAAAGGCTGGGTTTGCCTCCTCTGAGCAGCCCCTCGAACACAGGCAGCGTGCCCCCCTCCTCAAGCGGGTGCACACGGCAATGGCCGGGCCGGGCCCTAGCAGCAGCAGGAGCTCCTGCTGGGACAAGGGAGGGGCCTTTGGGTGAGTCTAGGGAGCCCCAACTGTTAGCAGTCGAATCCTCTTTCTAATAAAATCTCACGTGGACCCAACACAGGAGACAGGAGGGCTGTGCTGACTAGTGTGGCAGGGCCGCCCGCTGTGCCCTCCATGTCCAGTCTCACGCCATGGGGTCCCACTTTTCCCAGTCGGTCCCCAGGCAACAGCCCTTCTTGGCCCTCGTGATTCACCAAGCAGCAGGACCAGGGCTCAGGCTGTCTCAAAGCCCCCGGAGTGCTTGAGCTGTCCGGGAAGCCCCACCCGTCCTGCCCATCAGAGCCGCAGGAGGCCGTGCCAGCAGGTGAGGGCCGCGTGCTGCAGGTGCAGGACAAGGCTGAGGAGCCGGGCCCGCAGGTCCTCCAGTGCCGTTGCCACGGGCTTGGCTCGGCCGCAGTACAGGCCCAGGGCCAGCACGAGAAGGACGCACACGCACAGCCGCAGGAGCAGGGAGCCGCTGTGTGGCCTGGGCCTGCCGGGCACTGCGGCCAGAAGGCAGGCAGGGTCAGCGCCAGCCAGCCCCACCCTTCCCTGGAGGACTGGGGCTGGTGGGGAAGGGATGGGGAGATTCCGCCCTATCCCTGCCCATGGCCCCTCCCTAGCCTCGTGGGTCCTCCTTGCAACAAGAGCCCCCCAATGGGGACTCCTCAGAGGCCCTGGCCCTGTGACACCTCCCTTGGGGAGGGAGTGAGGGTGGGTGCACCGAAGGAGGGGGCAGTGGGGTACAGGCATGTGGGCTCGGAACTCACCCCTGACAGTGGCCGTGGTGTTCCTGTCAGCAATGTCTGGGAAGGAGAACGGAGAGTCGGCTGGGAGGTACTTGCCTCAGTCCATCGGGTGTCCCTGCCCTCTCGCCTCAACCTGCACCCCCGAAGGACCCCTGATACTATTCATGGGTTAGAGATCCAGGCCCAGCCAGGTCCTGACGCTTCCTCAAGAGGACAGTCATTCGAGAAGCCGCCGTCATGTTTTCCTCCAGTTGCCGTTTGACGGACCAGGACTGTGTGTCCAGGTGACCCCACGGGCCCAGGGGTTCTGCCACTGAAGACAGGCGGCCATGGCCCCCCATGTCCTGGGCCCTGCCAGAGCTGGGTGGGTGTGGCCGGAGTCCCCGCCTCCCTCTGCCCAACCCCATCCTCTCCAGCCGCTTGCTGCGGGTGCCCTCTTACAGTGGACGGTCACTGCTGGGGGTTCTTGGAACCGCACACGCCTCGAGGTCCTCTGGGGCTCGGCCCCTGGGCGGTGATGCTCCCGCCGGCTCCTTTTCAGGATGGAGGAGGGGCACTTCTTGTCCTCCTGGGACAGGGGCGAAAAGCAGACCGGTGAGTCCCCGGCAGGAGGCCGACGGGTACCCAGGTCTGAGCCGTGTGGGGCCCAGCAGCACCGTCCTGGAACCTGTACCCTGTCCTGGCTGGTGTGTGATGCTGGGCCTGTCACTTCCTGTGGGGTGAGGGGCAGCTTCTGGACAGGCACTGCCGGGCAGCCAGACTCAGCCTCAGGGGCCCAGGCAAGACAGGAGCCCCTCCTGCCCCTGTCTCTTCACGCAAGGCCCCACTGAGCCTCTCTTCCTCTGCCTGCTGTCACGGATTCAGGCTCGGATTCAGGGTCCCCGGGACGTGCATAGGGGGAGGGGGCTGCATTGGCAGAGGGGCTCTGGCTAAGAGGCCAGAGTTTGCAAGCTCCATGGGGCAGGGGCCGGGCCAGGGCTGTGAGGAGGGCTGGTTGGTGGCCTCGGCCTCCTTTTCCCTGGGGCCGAGCCTCACATGCTGCAGACAGGGGCAGCTCCTGCCCGTTCGCCTACCTGGGCCCTTCTGTGCAGGTCTGCTCACGTGTACGGGCCCAGCCTGAGTTTGGAAGATGGAGCAGGAGTTTCAGGCTGCTGTGAACCTCAGCGTCCTTGTCTGTGACATGGTGACAACTGGGACTGAGGCGCCCTGGGAGCTGGGCCAGCTCTGAGGTTGTTCCTGGCTGGGGCATTGCTCGATGCACACAGTCAGCTGCTTGGCATCTGGCGAGGCTGCCCCTCGAGGGCGTGAGGTCTGTCCATGCTGAGTCTGGCCCAGCTCCTGCTGTGTCTGTGGCCTGTCCCAGCCTGGCAGTGCCTCAGAGGCTGGATGGAGCCTCGGGGTCTGAGGTCTGGGCCCCTAACCCTAACACTGACCCTTGGTGACAGTCTTGACCTGTCCTCCTCTCTCCACCCTCTTCTTTCCTCCAACACCCTCCTCCCCGGGCTGCCTCTTCCACAGCCCTCCATGACTCCCACTTCCTCTGCCAAGCGGTGTGCCCCACCTGGGGGCCTCCAACCCCGTCTGCCAGACCAAACCCTTTAAGGCACCCATTGCCCCCGATGGCTCCCACCAGCCCTCAGTGATCCCCCTGCCCTCCTCCCATCACCCCTTGATTCCTGGGGCAGAGGATGGCCTTTCCTCCTTTGTCTGCTCCCTGCCCCCTCCAGCCCCCAGTGGAAGGCCAGCTTGCAGAACCTGCGTCCCAGTGGCCCGCCTTACCCTCTCTGCCCTGCACGCCCGTGGGCCCCACGCGGCCTCCTCATTCTTTCTGGTCTGATGTCGTGTCTCTGGCCGGGAGTCAGGGCTCAAGGCTGCAGTCCTCATTTACTGGAACATGGTCCTAAGATAAGCAAAGACGTTATTTATTATTTACTGCACAAGTGGCACTCAGAGGAATGAAAGTAAGAGCAGAAAATTCCTCCCCAGAAGCCAGGCTGGCTGCCCGCGCCTGCGGCCGGCCACGCTGACGAGTAGACAGCCCTTTCCCTCAGTGGTGTCCCCAGCGCAGATAAATCCTGCTGCCTGCTGGTTCAGAAATGCCATTGCACGCAATTTCCTTTGCTGCCACAGTCTTCGTAATTGTCATCTTTAATGGCTGCATAATATTCCACTGGGCCGCATAGTATTCCACGGGGCCGAGGTCCCATCATTGAAAGTCGCCCTCTATGATCGGGTATTCAGGAAGTTTGCATTTTAGTATTGTCATTTGCAGTGATTGGAGGCCATGGACAAGGCTGTAGGAAACATCTTCGCTTTGTCTCCTTTTGGTAGTGGGAGGTCCTGGGGCTGGGGACTGGGAATTGTCAGGGCTCTGAGGCTGGGCCCACAGAAAGGCTTCCCAGATGGTCATGCCACCTTTTTGGGCTGGTGCTGGTGGGATGCCCCTGGGCTCCTGGGGGCCCACCCCTCAGCACGGCTCATACTCTCTC